ACTATGCGGCTGTGGAGATGAATTATAACAATTGTACTGTCTTTAATACAAACATGTACTGTTTAAAAACATTTTAAACTTGTAAACTCATTCTTGATCACATTTGATGATGACTGATGATCACAGAGAGCTGAACAGATCTTTTAATCGTGGTTGCTTTGCGCAGGTCCTGTCTTGTGGATATGATTATATGCGTTACTACAGAGACATGCTAATACGTGACTGTCAATCAATTCGGTGGGCGGGGAAACTGCACTCCTATGACACATTGTGCTGGGCCTCAACATGGGAGGCATTTGGATCCTATTTTAATGTCAGGAAATTTTCAAAAAGAGACTTACTGTGTTTCTATCACCCCAATATGACTGTGGACACACTATACCTGCAGACAGTTCTGTCCAAAAAGATGATTTTCTCCAAAGGTGTCCTTTAAATTTATTTCAGTCTATTTCCTAAACACCATTTTTTCCCAGTGTACTACACAAATCAATCAACACGTCAAGTAAGATTGACATTCTTACAAAAAATTCAGCTTTTGCCTTGAGTTAAAGAGTTGTATTATGTGTCACACAGCTAAAAAACAAACAATCAATCATCTTTAGACAATACAACACTCACAGTGTTGTTGAAAAAAAAAGTATGTGTTACTCATTTAAAAAAATAACAAGTGTACACTCGCTGACATTTTGGATTTACTTGATCCCTAAAACCCACAAAAAAACAAACACACACTCTCTTGTATTCAAAATGCCGGGTCTGGCCAATTACCTCATGATACGATACACACGGTGACACATGTTATGATTCAGTAGTTTGTGAGGCATCACAGATTTATAATTGGATCAGGGCTCCAAACTAACACTTTCACACGAAACAGAAAAATCCCCTTCAGATGGACGGATACATGCTTATCTGGCTTTAGACTTATTCTGGGTTACTAATTAATTCGTGGTTGTCAAGATGGGAGATTTCATGTTGTACATGGGTCAGCGACGAAAAGGGGTTTTCAAGCATCAAAACAATACAAATGGGATGCAGCCTATATTCCCGCTTTATAGCATGTGTCATGCTAAACACTGCAATTAACGGAAATCTACAGTAGTCAACAAATTAAAGAGTTACTCAAAGTTGTCTTTGTAGTTTAATTCGTCATTTTGAATTATTATTTATTTATTCTTATTATTATGTTTCAAAAATATACAACCCCAAATCAGAAAAAGTTGGTAGAGTATGGAAAACACAAATAATAAAAGACAGTAGTGATGCGTTTAAAAAAAAAAAAAAAAGTTGGGACAGGAGCAATTTAGGGCTAATAATCCAGCCTGATCTCACGACGAAACGTAACCATTTTACGTTTTGTCAGTTTAGTGGCTAATTTGTACGAATTCGTACGAGTTCAGTCGTTCAAAAACGAACGATTTTAAAAAGGAGCCGTGGCACCCGACTCCACCCCTAACCCCAACCGTCATTTTGTAAATAGTACTAAATTGTTAGAATTAGATCGTACAAATTCATACGAATTGGCCACTAAATCAAAGAGTTACAAAAATTGCTGTGAGATTGCATCGTAAAAATCAGGTAAATTGGTTAAATAATGATGTAATTTGAAACAGGTGATGTCAAGAGGCGGTTGTAATTATGATTTGGCACAGCATCCAAGAAAGGTCTAGTCCTTTAGGAGCAAAGATGGGCCAATGATCACCAGTTTGCCAACAAATACATGAGAAAGCAATTAAAATGTTGAAAAACAATGTTCCTCAATGAAAGATAGGAAGACATTTGGATATTTCACCTTCAACAGGGCATAACATCATTTAAAGATTAAAGGAATCTGGAGAAATTTCAGTGCATAAAAAGATAAGATTATCTCCGATCCCTTACTGCATTAAGAATCGTCATTCATCCATAAGCGATATCATCACATGGGCTCAGGACTACATTGGCAAACCTTTTTCAAGTACCACAATATGTAGTTACATCCACAAATGCTAGTTAAAACTGTACTGTGCCAAAAGGAAGCCCTATGTTAACAGTGTCCAAAAGCACCGTTGACTAGAAATCACTTATTTATGTTTTCCATACTGTCCCAACTTTTTCTAATTTGGCGTTGTAGTACTAATAGAGATATTCCACTTCAGAATAAGCAAAACAGTGGAAACTAATAGCAAATAAAATGGAAAGAAAATTAAATATACAGTATTAAGTATAGAATATGTCCTGATTAACACTGGAACTACCGGAAATCTACAGTAGTCAACATTTTAAACATAATGACGAATTAAACTATTTAAAATGATGTATTTATTATTATTCGTTGCAAAAATGTACAACCCCAAATCAAAAAAGAGTATGGCAGAGTATGGAAAACACAAATAAATAAAAAAAGAAAAGTAGTGATTAGAATTTACTTTGACTTGTCTTTTATTACAGACAATAGAGCAAACATCATTTAATGTGTAAGGAGAAGTTTAGGGCAAGTAATCAAGTAAATTGGTTAAATTTGAAACAGGTTATTTCAACAGGTGATTATGATTGGATACAAAAGCAGCACCCAAGAAAGGTCTAGTCCTTTAGGAGCAAAGATAGGCTGGGGATCGGCAGTTTGCTAACCAATACATGACTTAAAATGTTTAAAAGCAAAGAAAGATAAGAAGACATTCAGATGTTTCACCTTCAACAGTGCAGAATATCATTAAACGATCCAAGAAATCTGGAGGAATTTCAGCACGTAAAAAGGACAAGAATAAGCTGAACAATTGTGATCTCTGATCCCTCAGGCGGCACTGCATCAAGAATCCTCGTTCATCTATAAGCGACATCAACACATGGGCTCAGGACTACTTTGGCAAACTTTGGTCAAGTAGTTACATTCACAAATGCCAGTCAAACTGTACTGTGCCAAAAGGAAGCCCTATGTTAACAGTGTCCAAAAGCATCGTCAACTTGGAATCACTTTATTTTTATTTGCGTTTTCCATACTGTCCCAACTTTTTATACAACGGATGCCCTTCCAGCTGCAACCCATCACTAGGATTCATCCATAGCGCATGTCTGGACTTGTGGGGGAAACCGGAGCACCCGGAAGAAACCCACGTGAACACAGGAAAAGCATGCAAAATCCACACAGAAATGTCAACTGACCCAGCTGAGACTCAAACCAGCGACCTTCTTGCTGTGAGGCGACAGCACTACCCACTGCGCCACCGCGTCACCCCTTCCTCAAAGTTGTCTTCATGAATTTGTTCATCATTATGATGTATTTATTATCATTTGCTGCAAAAATATAGTGCTAAGATAATACACTTCAGAATAAAATGAAATAAAATAAAAAGGGCAAAGAAAAGTAACTATACGGTAGTAAGTTTAAAAAATATGTTTTGATTTTCACTGGAACTAATGAAAATCTGCAGAAGTCAACATTTTGAGTTGTATTTTTGCTTTTATTCGTCATTAAAGTCTACAGTAATCAACATTTGGATCAAAATGGTTCCTCAAAATTGTGCTAAAACAATTTTATCTTTTACCATAATTTAGGGAAGACACCAAAATATTGTTCAGTAAATAAATAGTCATTTTTAATTGTTTTATTATGCCGCTCTCCTACAGATCACTCCGTTTAACCCATTTTAATACATTTTAAATATAACAGAATTTAATATTAGGACTTGTTTTTTAATATTTATATTAAAAAGCACAGATGAGAATATGTATATTGTTTTCTTTCTTTTTTTTTAAAAGTCCTATAAATAACTATATAACATTTAACTTATATTTAGACATTTTGAAGTTATTTGAAGCTTTAAAGGAGACACTTTTCTTGCATTTTAGTTGCTTTCTATGTATATAAATTACCTCAGCATATTTGATTTGATCTGGACACCAGAATGGGATTGCCTCAGCTTTGGAGCTGAGCTTAACTTACTGTAGTATTGAACTGAATTGAATCAATAATGAACTGGCTCTCAAAAACTAGATGTTCTGAACTTGTTTCACACTGATGAAACCTTGTACCATATTTTTCTATCATTGCATGTTCATTCCTGTAAAAAGGGGGAGAAAGACTTTGCTAACCTTTCAGAAAATATGTTAAACTTGAAAGAAATCTCTTATGCTCATTAGGATTTATTTGTTATTTCCTGAAAAAAAAATAATAAAAAAAAATAATATATATATATATATAGAAGAAAATGAGATTATTCGACTTGATAAATTCAAAATACTCAAAAGTAATTTAGATTGTTGAATTGAAAAAAATTTGAAACACTTAACGGTTTATCTTAGTAAGGGACTGGTCAAATAAGCCTATTTACCATCAATAAAGTGGAGTGTTTCTTTAAGCACGCCATCATTTCACACAATATACACTGTTATTTACAATTTATATAAATTACACATCAGCATTTAACTGTAATATAACCCGTATTTTACTGTGGGACAGTAATGCAGTATGTATTTTATAGTTACGTTGTGAAGATTACTGTATATTTGCCATGATAACCAAGTAGAATCACACTAGAGAGCAGCATGAGCATCAGGTGTGAGGTACTGAAGATTATGGGAAGTGTAGTTCGGTTCAGTGGCAGGTGTGATGTGGTGACCATGACAACATTTTACAGTAAAGATATACATGCAGTTCTGTAAACAAATCTACAGCATGATAAATAGTGCTGTATTCAATGTAAATACAAAATGTTTGTATTTGCTTTATAGTTAGCTACTGTCTAACTGCAGCCAGTAAGTTACTGTAGATTCTGAAAGAAACTGTCAACAGTATCTTTTGCTGTGCAATCTGGCTAATGCTAACCCCCTTTCACAATTAGTATTTTCCCGGGGTTAAAAAGGCATTATGCTAACTATTATCAGAACAAAAACAAAAAAGCATGAAGTATGTGAAATGAAGGGAGGGAGATACGACAGCTCGTTTCTCCATATTTGCATGAAAATGGTGTTGGCGGCTCAGAAGGGAGAAACGGTGCAGAAGATTTGAGAGTAACACATACCAAAGACAGTTCTGGCGGGCACGGATTCCTTATTTATCCAGAACGACACTTGCGAAAGGATTACAGTCATGATGCAGGGGATGTACGTCTGAATCATGAAGTAGCCCATTTTCCTTTTCAAGTGGAAGTAGACCGTCATTACCACATATTCACCTGAAAGAGAAGGAACAGGAATGGAAGTGTCTTATTAGCTTGAAAGTGGACACAAAAATCCTTGTTTATTGCTCAAATTGACTACCCTTTTGTTAAGTTCATGACTGTTTTCGCCATTTTGACTTCTATTATAATGATGTTTTTTTAATTGCAAAAGTCTTGACATCATGTAATCATGCACTCTTGAGGTAAAATGTGTCATTTTTACTGTTTATCATCAGTTGGCAGCATTATCCCTGTAGATAGACCTACACAAAAACGTTATATAAAACTCTAAATAAAGAGTTCTATAGAGTGGAAGTACAGTAGACCCTCATTCCTACATATTCACCAGAAAAAAGGAAGAGGAAGAGGCCTTATTAGCCTGAAAGTGGATAAAAAAAACCTTGTGTACTGTTCAAATAGACTACCCATTTGTTATGTTTGGGGCTCTTTTTGTCCCATTGACTTCCAATATAATGAAATTTTTTAAAATGCAAAGCCCCTTGACACCATATATTAATGCATTCTTGATTGTTGGTGGTTTTTACTGTTGAGAAGAAGTCAAATGTGTCATTTTTACTGTTGATCATCAGTTGGCAGGATTAACCCTTTAGATATACCTGTGCAAAAACGGTTTATATGGAATGAAGTGGAAGTAGACCGTCATCCCACATATTCACCAGCAAGAGAAGGGATGGGAACGGAAAGTGCCAAATTAGCCTAAAAGCCTTTGTATACTGGTCCAATGGACTATATTTTTGTTGTTTGGAGCTGTTTTTGCCCCATTGACTTCCATTATAAAGACATTTTTTGATTGCAAAGCCCCTTGACACCATAAAATCATGCATTCTTGATTGTTGAAGGGTTTTTTCCAGTTGGGAAGAGGTCAAATGTGTCATTTTACTGTTGATCATCAAGTGGCAGGATTAACCCTTTAGATAGACCTGTGCAAAAACGTTTTTAATGGAGTTGTATGTGATGAAGTAGACCGTCACTCCCACATATTTATCTGCAAGAGAAGGACGAGGAACGGGACGTGACTTATTAGCCTGAAAGCGGACAAAAATAAAAAAATTATCTTGTGTACTGTTCAAATGGATTACCCTTTTGTTATGTTTGGGGCTGTATTTGCCTCATTGACTTCCATTGTAGTAAAGTTTTTTTGATTGCAAAGCATCAAATCGTGCATTCTTGACTGTTGGTGGTTTTCTCTGTTGGGAAGAAATCAAATGTGTCATTTTTACTGTTGATCATTAGTTGGTAGCATTGACCCCTTAACTGGGCCTGTATAAAAATGTTTTTTGGTATTTATATGGAGTTCTGTGGAGTGGAAGTAGACTGTAATTCCCATATTCACCTGAAAAAGAAGGAATTGGAAAAGGAAGTGCCTTATTAGCCTGAAAGCAGACAAAAAAAAAAACATTATGTACTTCTCAAATTGGCTACCTTTTCGTTATGTTCATGGCTGTTTTTGCCCTATTGACTTCCACTATAATGACCTTTTTATTGCAAAGTCTTGACACTATATAATCATGCACTTATGATTGTTTTTGGTTTTTCTTGTTGGGAAGCGGTAAAATGTGTCATTTTTTCTGTTGATCATCAGTTGGCAGCATTTACCCTTCAGAGAGACCTGTGCAAAAATGTCTTATATGGAGTTTTATGAAGTGCAAGTAGACCGTCATTAGCCCATATTCACCTGAAAGAGAAGGAAGAGGAACGGGAGGTGACATATTAGCCTGAAAGCGGACAAAAAAAAAAAAAAAATTGTGTCCTGTTCAAATGGATTACCCTTTCGTTATGTTCAGGGCTGTTTTTGCCCCATTGACTTCCATTATAATGACGTTTATTTTTTGATTGCAAAGCCCCTTGACACCATATAATCATGCATTTATGATTTTTTTTTTTGTTTTTCTTGTTGGGAGGAGGTAAAATGTGTCATTTTTACTGTTGATCATCAGTTGGCAGCATTGATCCTGTAGAGAGACCTGTGAAAAACGTTTTGGTCTTTATATGGAGTTCTATGGAGCGGAAGTAGACCGTCATTAGCCTATATTCACCTGAAAGAGAAGTAAGAGGAACAGGAAGTGCCTTAAAGTGCCCTCCTGTAGGGAAGGATTAACCCTTTAGAGAGACCCTTTGCAAAACATTTTTGGCTTTTATATGGAGTTTAATGGAGACTGTCATTACCCCATTTTCACCCGAAAGAGAAGAAATGAGAAGAGGAAGTACCTTATTAGCCTGAAAGCAGACAAAAAACATTGAGTAGTTTAAATTGACTACCCTTTTGTTATGTTTGGGGCTGTTTTTGCCCTATTGACTTTCATTATAATTATTATTATTTTTTTTTTATTGCGAAGACACCATATAATCATGCATTCATGATTACTGAGGGCTTTACCTGTTGAGAAGAGATAAAATGTGTCATTTTTACTGTTGATCTTCAGTTGGCAGGATTACCCCTTTAGATAGGCCTGTGCAAAAATTTTATATAATGGGTTTCTATGGGGTCAAAATAGACTGTCATTACCACATGTTCACCTGAAAGAGAAGGAATGGGAACAGGATATGCTTTATTAGCCTAAAAGCAGACCAAAAACCCTTGTATACTGTTCAAATCGACTACCCTTTCGCTATGTTCGTTATGCCTCATTGACTTCAATTATAATGACTTTTGTTTGTATTGTAAAGCCTTGGCACTATATAAACAGGCATTCTTGATTGTTGGGGGTTTTCCTGTAGTGATAAGGTAAAATGTGTCATTTTTGCTATCTTCAGTTGGATCTTCATATGGGAAGAGGAAGTGCCTTATTAGCCTGAACGCAGACAAAAAACCTCGTGTGCTGTTCAAATTGGCCACCCTTTCCTTATGTTTAGGGCTGTTTTTGCCCCATTGACTTCCACTATAGTCACTTTTTTATTGCAAAGTTGAGACCATATACTCATGCACTCAAGATTGCTGAGGGTTTTCCCTGTGGAAAAGAGGTAAAATGTGTCATTTTTACTGTTGATCATTAGTTGGCAGGATTAACCCTTTAGAGAGACCTCTGCAAAACATTTTTGGCTTTTATATGGAGTTCTATGGAGACCGTCATTACACCATATTCACCTGAAAGAGAAGAAATGGAAAGAGGAAGTACCTTATTAGCCTGAAAGCATACAAAAAAACTTTAGTACTGTTTAAATTGGCTACCCTTTTGTTGTGTTTGGGGCAGTTTGGCCCCATTGACTTACATTCTGATGACTTTTTTTATTGCAAAGTCTTGATACCATATAATCATACATTCATGATTGCTGAGGGCTTTACTTGTTCGTTATGCCTCATTGACTTCAATTATAATGACTTTTGTTTGTATTGTAAAGCCTTGGCACTATATAAACAGGCATTCTTGATTGAGGTTTTCCTGTAGGGAAGAGGTAAAATGTGTCATTTTTGCTATTGATCTTCAGTTGGATCTTCAGATGGAAAAGGAAGTGCCTTATTAGCCTGAACGCAGACAAAAAAAAAAAAAAAACTTGTGTACTGTTTAAATTGGCCACCCTTTCCTTATGTTTGGGGCTGTTTTTGCCCCATTGACTTTCATTATTATGACGATTTTATTATTGCAAAGTCTTGACAACATATAATCATGCATTTATGATTGCTGAGGGCTTTCCCTGTTGGGAAGAGGTAAAATGTGTCATTTTTACTGTTGATCATTAGTTGGCAGGATTACCCCTTTAGATAGGATTGTGCAAAAACATTTTATAATGGATTTCTATGGAGTGAAAATAGACTGTCATTGCCACATATTCACCTGAAAGAGAAGGAAAGGGATCAGGATATGCTTTATTAGCCTAAAAGCAGACAAAAACCATGGTGTACTGTTCAAATGGACCACTCTTTCCTTATATCCATGGAGGTTTTTGCCCTATTGACTTCTATTATAATGACGTTTTTGATTGCAAAGCATTGACACCAATCATGCATTCTTGATTGTTGGTGGTTTTCCCTGTTGAGAAGAGGTCAAATGTGTCATTATTACTGTTGATCATCAGTGAGCAGCAGTAATGCTTTAGATAGGCCTGTGCAAAAATGTCTTATAGGGAGTTCTATATGACGAAGTAGACCATCAATACCACATATTCACCTGAAAGAGAAGGAACGGGAACAGGAAGTGCCTTATTAGCCTGAAAGCGGACAAAGGAACAAGGTCAGGATGACAGTCTGTCATCACAGCAGACTTATTTTGGCTGAACGGCAAAGTTTTCTGGCTGTTAAGCTGCGCTGGCAGATTCATCTTATCTTAACAGAATGAGGCTCGCAGCCGTATTGGGAAACTGCGCTCCAGTAATCAAAACACTCACTCCATGCTCCAGATCTCTTATGTAATTTTGATCAAAAAGACATAATACATAAATAAACAAATGGCATTGTTCTTCCCCCTGATTTCTGTGCAGAGTTGCTCTCAAAAACAAGCTGTTGTGAAACAGCTTCGTGCTGACCTTTGCATTTAAGCTGACTTTATAGGCCACGTATCATGAGTCAAATAGTTTTTCTTTTTAATCTAGCTTACGTCACTATTAGATATTCGTTATATTCAGCAATCAGGTGACATGGATCAGGACTTTCCGAACATGTGCTTGCTGATAAAATGGACTTATGTGTAACGTGGCCTAAACAGCAGGTCAGCTTTGAGAGCCTTTGTTAAACTGGAAATTAATGTGGTATTTGTAATGAACAGGGTAATATGTCAATAGCATAACAATTTGTATTTCTATTGAAAAAAAAAGCCCAGCTGAAAGCCTCCATCATCAAGGATAAGTTTCTGGTGGGGTTTATGAGCTCACAGAGCTGGATGCACCTCTGAAAGGATCTAGTGGCCTTGTAAACAACTACAGTGCACAGGGTAGATTCTGCTCTTCTTGGATTTGTGGCTGTTCATGAAGATGACGACAAGGTTTGTTGTCAGGTCGACCATGGCTCGTTATTATATGTATATATTACTATGATGTAATGCCTCAGCTGTGTATTTAAAAATGCCGCTTCCTTTGTTTTCATTCTCCTGGCTTGTGCAGGAGCAAGTGACGTATCTCTGTAAACCAATAGCATTCAGCTGCGCGCCTGGCTCTGCCTATTGGTACTCTTTTGTTGTGTAAGTACCCTTTCGAAAAGATACCCAAATAGTGGTATGGTGCGGTTTACTTTTTGGTACCTATGACAGTGGAAACGGCTATTAAAGTGTACCAAACTGTCATTAGGTACCAAACAGGTCATTACTGTCCCGCTGTGTGAATGATGCAGAATACTCGATGCATTTGCCGAATTTGCCTAATTTGCATCCTACACGTTTCATGTGAACAGAGGCTTTTTAACCAATCGGAAAGGAGAAAACCACGTGCATGCTTATGTCATGGGGTGAAAACTACGATTTTAGTGTCCACACAACAGCACTGTATATGGGGTTTCTCAAAAAATACTCACGCTGACCAATCGCTCCTCCAATAGGCAAATAGATTGAAAAAAAAATTAATAATAATCAAAATGCAAATTTATGATCATTTTTTTTCTTAACGCTGCAATTTTATCAATAAAAATTATTACACTAAAGATTACAAACCTCAAAAATTTATAAAATAATTATCAATAAGATTTGCAGTTCATCCTCATTCCAGTCCTCATCCCTTTAGATTAGAAGGTTGTACTCAGTAAGAAAAAAATAATAATTAATTAATATAAATAACAACATCAAATAACAAATAAAAACAGGAAACAATAAATTAATAATTTGTGCCGATTTGTACTGTAAAATCTTGAATCATGAATTTTATCATTAACGGTTTGTAACCTTTCAATTTAATTTAATTTATCAGTTTAGTAAAATGCATGTTGTCAGATTCCTCAAGGAGCGTTCACACCACGTTAATTCAATGCAAAGACACGAATAGACATCCTGTGGCACGATTTGTGCGAATGAGGCAGTGCAAATTGAGAAATTTGTTCGAGTTAGAAAATCTGAACTTTAACAGACATTCACGCCGCGTTAAACAATCAGGAGCTTGCTCTTGTATGGGCGTGATTATAACGTAGCGCCTGTTGTTGGTGTCCCGAGGGGAAATCCTCCTGACACAGGACAACAGCTCATCAAACTGGGTTTGGCTTAGTCAGAAGCACAGATAAAAGCCTCCATCATCCAGCTTCAGATTCTGAAGGAGTTGATGAACTCACAAAGCTGGGTGCACCTCTAAAAGAATCTAGTGGACTCAGACATGGCGCCGAATGAATCCATGCTGTTTTTCAGCCTTCCTAAAGCACATAAAGCACAGCTACTCTCTCAGTAAAATCCATGTTAGCCATTTAGCAACAAAGCTAAAGTCAAGCCCCACCCATGATGCAAATTTGCATCTATTGTGAAGTGATCTTGACAAAGTTTATTAGTTCAATTATGTTAAAAGCATGTGATCCAAATGGATGTAATTTTTATTTGCAATCAGAACACATAAATTTTATTTGGTATTGCTAAATATTCCTTTGTTTCCACTTCAGATTAATAACTACAGCTATGGTGAGTGGATGAAGCTACATAAACTAAGACTAAATAAACTAAAAAAAAAAAAAAATAGTGTAAAGTGTTGTGTGTACCTGTGATGGATTTGACAGTTTCGCTGGACACAGTCTGTCCAATCAGATCATACTGGACCAGACTGGAGGATTCAGGAGGTACCTCCACCGAGTGCTGCGGGCCTTTAGTCCACGTGTAGATCATCTCAGTCTTTGGGTAGGCATCTGATAAACAAGACAGAGCGTCATAACAAGACCTACACCACAAAAGGAGTGTGTGTGTGTACATATATATGTGCTTTAAGCTAACAATCACACCGTATCTGTGGCACTATATGTATCCCGGTGGAAATGAAAAAGACAGAAATGAGATTAAACAGAGGGTAAATGGAGACGTCCTGCTGCATGCCTCCTGACGCTCACATTTTTTCTCCAGAGAAAAAAGGGCCTCAGGTAAAATGGAAACAAATGAGCCAATTGTTGGCACACTGCTGGAGAACGGCACATCACAGAGGGGGAAAAGATGTTCACATTGAGATTTATGAGCGCAGATTTTGGCACCTTCTGAAAATCTGAGCACAGTTTGAGATGTTGCTGAGATTGATGTTCTAGTGACACTTGATGCTTATGGTTTTTTGGTAACACTTCAAAATAAAGTCCCAGTAATTAATGTTAGCTTTCTTTATGGCATCTTTTTTGACAGTAGTTAAAAATACAACTCACATTAGTTCAGGTCTATTCACCAAATGTAAGTGGTTACATAGTTTGCTTATGTACTTCAAGTATCCCAAATGTTTCAACGAACGTTCAATCCAGAGAAAATAAGCATTTCAAGAGTTCACACTTAGCTGATGATTGGTTATAAAGCTTGTTTGGCATGCTCTCCCGGGAGAGGTCCCTGAGCTCATGAGATCCTCGAGCCCGGGGATCTCTCCCGTTTGCAGGGCGAGAGGGGAGTTTGAGCTCAGGTAGATCTCGAGAACTCCCCTGCTGTAGTAGCTAATGAACAGATAGTGATTACTCTTAAGAGATAACTTCTAACTAGGAACATGTCTTTGGTGCTGATTTGAATTAGTCAATTAACTTAAGTTACATGTTTTTGGATGGTGGGAGGAACCCAGGGGAAACCCACGTGAGCACGGGGAGAATGTGTAAACTCCGTACAGAAATGTTGGCTGGCTTGGTAAGGACTAGAACCAGTGACGTTCTTGCTGTGAGGCAACGGTGCTAACCACTGGACCATCGTGTCACCCATCTAGGAAAGGAGGAGGAGTAGGTGTGGAAGGGGGGATTCTCCAAACAAATGGAACGTTAGATGGAATGCAGGGTATTTATAGTGGTTTAGGAATCGTCTGATTGGTGAATTGGAAAGATGGACCATAGCCTGTGTGTTAATGCTACACTCTCAGAAATAAAAGGTACGCGAGCGGTCACTGGGGTGTACCTTTTTAAAAGGGGCAAATTTGTACGTAAAGGGTTCATATTGGTTCCCTAAAAAGTGTATATTAGTACCTAAAAATATTAAGAGGAACACTTTTATACTTTTTAGGTACTGATATGTACCCTTGAGGTATTAATATGGACCTTTTAGGCACACATTTGTACCTTTTGAAAAGGTACCACCCCAGTGACAGCTTGCGTACCTTTATTTCAGAGAGTGTATTGACATCACACGCGATTGATTTACAATTTGGTGTTATAGAAAACACAGAAAGCACAGAACAGACTCACATTTAAGGAGCAAGGGCGACCCCTGTTGGTTCGGCGGTATGGGTTGCGTATATGGAGGCTCGGTTCTTTAATGTTTATTTGCCACCCTTCAGAGAAAGACTGAAAATACGGGAGAAATATGGGAAAATACTTTTACAGGATGATAGCGGGATACAAGTGTAAAATACGGGAGAATCCTGGGAAAAACGGGAGGGTTGACAGGTTAGTCCCAAACCCCTCCTTAACAGGCTAATCTGCGCTGATTGGTCAGATAACCCAGTCTGTTGGGATTGGTCGATTGTGTTCTGTGAAAAGACACACCCAGCACAGTTAAGAAGTAGTCATCCAGTATAGTGTCCTGGGGCATTAGGACTCACACAGTCCATAGGTTGAGCACCCCCTGCTGACCTAACTAACACCACTTCCGACAGCGACCTCGTATTCCCATGTGGTCTCCCATCATATTGACCAGGATCATCCCTCTGCTTAGCTTTACTGAGTAACCGGTCTTGGGCTGCAGGTTAATATGGCTATGACTACATGAAAGCAAATGAAAGTCCTTTCCATTTCACAACAGATGGTTTGGTGAACTATTCTCAACACAATGCCAGTTTGTTCTAAAATAGCCTATCAATTGCTGAAAGATCTGCAGGTAAGCAAATTAACTTTTAATCTTTAAGTCTGTTTGTGATGATTGCCAAACCAGCGTTTAACACTAATAAGCCACCAAGCATTTGAGTGTTTCTAATAAAACCACACACAGATCAGAAGCGTTTGTCTGGGCTGAATATTGCAACCTAAATAAAGGTTTAATCATTCGCAACAGGGTAATTTATTAAACCCACTAAAGCTGAAGAACCTTTCGTAATATGACAAGTAATTATAGCAATTTTAACCCACAAACTTAAAACAAAGCAATTAAGAAAGTAAAAAAAAAAACAATTACCAGAAAACAAACTGCGCAAATTGCTATATTGCTTTTTTCTGTTTTGCTCAAACTTATTATATCAACATATCAAGTGCTGTAGGATGGATACATCGTTAGCTTGCAGCTAGCTCTCTGTAACTCTCACATGGTTGCCCACTGAAGCTAAGCAGGACTAAACCCGGTCAGTACCTGGATGGGAGACCACATGGGAAAGCTAGATTACTGCCGGAAGTGGTGTTAGTGAGACCAGCAGGGGGAGCTCAACCTGTGGTCTGTGTGGGTCCTAACACCCCAGTATATTGATGCAGACTCTATACTGCTTAGCAAGTGCCATCTTTAACAACGAGGTTGTTAAAAATCCCAGGATGCCCTTCGTAAAAGTGTAGGGGGTTAATTAGGGTTTTTTATTGAATCTGGCCAAATTTGCACACTGGCCTCCTTACCATCCTTATATTATAATTGGCTTCATTATTCTGTCTCCTCCCCACGAATCAGCTGGTGTGTGGTGTGTTTTGGCGCAATACGGCTGCCGCATCGTCTAGGTCAAAGGTTGGGCAAACTCAGTCCTGGAGGGCCGGTGTCCTGCAGAGTTTAGCTCCAACTCTAATCAGACACACCTGCTTATAGATTTCTAATGATCTTGAAGACACTGATTAGGATGTTCACGTGTGTTTGATTAGTGTTGGAGCTAAGCTATGCAGGACACCAGCCCTCCAGGACAGAGTTTGCCCACCCCTGATCTAGGCGGATGAGGAGATTCCCCTCAAAAATGTGTGTAAAGCACTTTGTCCAGAAAAGCGCTATATAAATTTAAGGAATTATTAATTATTATTGTGATAAAGTTAACCAGTCACAGCAGTTGTTTTTTTTTTTTTTGATAAAAAATGAAAAACAGGAGGGTTTACTTTTAAACATTTGAAATACTGCAACTATAGTGGTGCAAAAAATTGCAATTATTATAGACGGACCCGAAGTAACGCCAAATAAACATCTAATGCTGAATTAAAGGCACAGTATGCAATTTTCATCACTAGAGGGTGTGCATTCACAACAAACAAAGATGTAGTTTGATGATGTTGTGAGTGCGCAACCATGGGAGTTGTGGTCTTCATTACATCCTACAAGACATCCTGCAGAAATCATATTCATGGATGAGCTTAAGTTTCCATGTTTGTTATAAATCAAAATAGACAGGCCACACAGGACACGCTTTGTTTCACCAGTTAAAAATTGCTGATTTCTCTGGATTTATTCGAAACATTTAGATAATTTAAGTAATAAGTATATTCATTCAATCATTGTCATTTGGCCTAGTCCATTATTTATCAGTTGTCGTGGAATTAACCACCAACTATTTCAGCGTATGTTTTAGACGCCCTTCCAGCCACAACCCAGTAACTAATGCAGGTATACAAGTTTAGATTTGTCCAGCAGTGGGTTTTTAGTGATGTTTGCATCACCATATGAGGCATAAGAATAAAACGTTTGTCTGGATAGAACTCAGATTTTTGACCACACTTCGTTATTACTCGTCGTTTATTCTTTTTCTGGAAGTTAGAACTTAATTTAGAAAATTATTCATTCATTCATTTTCTTGTCGGCTTAGTCCCTTATTAATCCGGGGTCGCCACAGTGGAATGAACCGCCAACTTATCCAGCAAGTTTTTTTTTTTTTTTTTTTTACGCAGCAGATGCCCTTCCAGCCCCAACCCATCTCTGGGAAACATCCACACACACATATTCACACACACACACACACACTCATATACTACGGACAATTTAGCCTACCCAATTCACCTGTACCGCATGTCTTTGGACTGTGAGGGAAACCGGAGCACAGGGAGGAAACCCACGCAAAGGCAGGAAGAACATGCAAACTCCACACAAAAACGCCAACTGAGCCGAGGTTCGATCCAGCGACCCAGCGAAAATCTCTGTGCTTAATAAATTAAATATGTAAGCTAATGGATGTCTTCAGTGGACTGAGTTTCCACCGTTTCCTTATCCACGGAAGTAAAGGAGTAAAGACTAAAAATAAAGTAAAGAGAAAGTAAAGAGGCCGAATGAAGGAGGCTTGTTCTTTATCTTTGCGCGGCAGATGCTCTGTTTAACTGTTTTATCGCTAGTGAAGCCTTCAGTTTTTCTACTTAAGAAGTCCGCCATGTAAATAGCAAGTGTACCATGACGCGACGCAACTGACTCTTAAAGGGAATGGGAGATGAGACTCTGAAGGGTTAAAAGAATAAACACAACACTGTTAGACCATACGCTGGAGTGCAGAGCGTATTTTTTCCATCCTTAAAATAGCAAGTGTATTCAAACATGCCGTTAATGCTTTTGCGCTATGCACTTTAGACTTTGCGCCTAGATCGTTAAAATAGAGCCCTTCACGGATGATCTAAAAAAAAAAAACGCCCGATCAGAAGACAAACTACAACATTTCTAATCAACCCAAACTTCTCCATCAACAGCTGGCTGGCTAATCCCTTCCATTTATGCTTCACCCAAGGACATAAAAAGTAGTTAATACTTCAATTATACACATCTAAGAACACCACTGTGTCTCCTGAGCTATGAAAGAGCAATC